GGAAAAAAACAGAGACAGTGGAACTTACTCCTCAACAGAACACATGGGTTTATCAAGATGCAGTAAACCGGGAGAATCAGGGGATATCTTCACAGTGGCCCAGAGCCGACTGAGAAACTGGATCAGTTCGGGCACAAAGATGCCCTTTAGGCGTTGCATACGGACAAATCGGTCGGCTGGTTTTTCATCCGGGGGTGAGACCTTCGACTGGATCATTTCAATAAGGATATGTGCCAGCAGGAGACCACGCACCACCTGGGTCAGGTTACGCGGGGTCAGTTGGGAGAGCTGATCGGCGATGTAGGCGACGGCGGGAGCCTGATAGGCAGTCATGCGGCAGAGAAGACGCAGAAGAACATCCTCCGTTTTGGTCTGCTGCGGCTGGACAGACGCGGTCGACTGTTCACTAATCCAAAATTAGAAGGTACAGATTGCAGAAGACGAAAGAACTACGTGCATGACTTATGCACTAGGTCAGGGGTCGGGAACGTATGGTTTGCGAGCCAGGTGTGGCGCTTTTGATGACTGTATCTAGCTTTCTCAGATAAAATAAGAATTTAAAACTTCAGATTTTGTGGTTTTTGGTTCCTCCAATGAAGTGCCACCGCAAAGACGCGTAGCAGAATTAATTCAACCTCGACCAATCGGACATCTGGTTCTCTCAGATAAAACATCACGTGGCTCTCACTTAAATATATTTCCAAATAGTTGCTTTCTTGGCTCTCTGAGTCAAAAAAGTTCCCGACATCTGTACTAGTTGATCTAACTCCTGCACAATTGTGATCGGAATTAGCATTGGTAGTTTTGGCTGCATTTATTATTTTGGTCTGTGGAGTTGATGCTCAAAAGACCTTTTAGTAAAGAAAGCTGCATTTTTCAGTTCTTATATTGAAGGAAAACAGCAGGATTTAGGCGAATTCAGAGGTTGCCGGATATCCAACAAATTTAATGTGCTATTTAATATGACAGAACAAAATGTGGTGTTGTTGTGCGTTGTGTTATAAAAGGACATCAAGATAAGCAAGAAATTTTGTTTTAATGAATCCTGATCCTGATTTTAATGAAAACCTGATCTTAAGTTAGTGAAAACTAGGTGGAGGCAAACGTAAGGAATCGCATTATTTTCCAGAAACAAGGAAAGAATCCAGGTTTATAAATTATTTTATGGATTATTTTTTGTCAAGACGCAGTAACGAATTTGTCTGATTGTTTAGTTTTATAACACCGACGATTTGGGACTTTAGACAAAAATACGTATATTTTACCGTGTAGACAGACACCAAAAACAATTTTGCCAAATCTGAAATATGTGGCGAGATATGTTTATGTACAATATGGCTTCAACTAATGCATACGTTAGAAACGGAAACGGCAGAGTAACAGTATTTTCAAAATTACGATATACATTTAGACGCTCTTTGGTGCACTCGCAACCCTAAAAAAGACCTAAAATTAATCAAATGTAGTGAAGGATGTTTCTATATATGGAAAAATGGGTTCTTTCATTTCCAGCCGAAATTGTACCAATAAGTTCTGGGAAATTCAAAAAAACTGGTCAAACTTCCCCATATCTACTCTAACATTACCTTGGGAAAAGGTAATTTACGTAGATATTCGTCAGCGGAATATCTAATTAAAGTGCTTTTAAAGAGATAATTTATTATATAACGTTTTTAATTGATCTTAGGCACGTTTGTGTCGGACTTTCTTTGTGAACGTTCACTTTTCTA